GTAACGAATCCGACCCTGAAACCGATTCCTACACGGGCCGAGTGTAGTTGCCCGGCTGTACTAGGAATATCAGATTCCCGCGGTGTCAGCAGGGCGTGGCGGTGAGTAGAAGACAAATTTGCCCTCGACCAGGGATGCATTGTTGGCGCGCGTGCTGCGATGATTGGCCACTTTTACAGCATTTCCTGATTTGGCCAATTACGGGGTTGCAGAGCAACGAGAGATTCAGGCCCATGTGATGCACATGTGGACCTGTGGCCCTGTGGCCCGGATTGTCGAAGACGTACTGGCAAGAACGGATGCATCCACGCCGCCCTGCTGTGCTACCAGCCATCCAATCTCCCACCCCAGCCTGCTCCTGGCTTTCCTTCCATCTAGCAAGGGTACGGTTTCAACGTGTTGCTGCCTGGTGGTGTACCAAGAGGCAGTCAGCCGTGTTTTCTCTCTTCCTGGCAAACCTCCGTTAGGCTAGCTTGGTAGTGCCGTTAGATGCTGCTCGTTTGCGCTGCAGCCAATGGCGGACCACCCGGACGCCATTGAACGACCTGATGACCACGACGATGAACCCGCTCGTCGTTCGCCAATCGATCTGTCCGCGGCAGTTACCGGACTCGATCTGCTATTCTCCAGCTTAGCGGCAGTAGATAACCATGGAAAGGATTCTGCAGTCGCGCCGACCGTCAACATCCCGTTTGAACCAATCGACGAGCCGCTGTGTCCCTCCCCAACTACGCCCGTGTTGGAGCAAGACAGCTGCAACCCTGCAGGTGAAGAATCTGCGGCGGTACCTGTGGCTAAGAAGTCCGCCAAGTACATGCAGTCAACGATTCCGTGGGGCAAGAAGGGAGGCACCGTTGGAGCAGCACCGGCTTCGCCAGCCGACCAACGGTCGACGCCCGCGACCGCAGGCACGCAGACGTCGCCCTCAACACCTGGGCCTTCTAAACCTGGGCCTTCCAAACCAGCAGGGCCAGACGCAACTTACGCCGAGGCTCTGTACAAGTACAAGAGCGAGTGGAGAGAACGATTTCCTTGGGTCATACTGCTAAAAAAGGCTGACGGTTTCCCTGCTTTCAAGTGCAGGATCTGTACGGAGCATGCAGGCTACGCTGGACCGTGCGGGAGAGGCGGAAAGGGCGCCACAGACGTTCAGACGCAGGCGTTCAAACGGCATGCGGCAACTACGAAGCACAAGGAGGCGTTGAAACACCAGAAGAAGCTACTCGACGAAGCATCCACGCAGCCACGGTTCAACAGCGACAATCTCGCTCGCGACACGGAGAAGGAGCGTGTCAGCAGGCTCCTCGACTCGCTGCTCTTCGTGACCAAGCAAGATGCACCCATAGAGTTATGGGTGAATCTCGTGCGCTACCTCGCGCGACTGAAGGTGCCTGGGTTCCCCGCTAAGGGCTACGGTACCTATTACACGACGTGAGTTACCGTTTTCTCGGGTTGCAACCGTGTATATGTAGATTAATAACCGGTCTAACATTGTGTTGTTTGACCTGCGCTGCAGATACGGCTTTGGGCAGCTGACTCAGTCGATGGCTACGTGGTTGCACACAACGCAACTGCAGCACATCCTTAGCAGCCCATACCTAGGCATCACATGTGACGAAAGCACGGACAGGTGCTCTGGAAAGCACATGATTGTTTTCGCGTCTTTCATCCGTGACTGTCGTCCCGTGACTGAGTTTCTTGCCCTGCTGACCGTGGAGAAGGGCGATGCAGCCTCTCTCCTGTCAGTGCTCTTATCCCACCTGCAGGCCGTGGGCATTGAATTGGCGAGGATATCCGGCATAAGCACTGATGGTGCGAGTGTCATGATGGGGAAACACAACGGCCTGGTCGCACGACTTCGCCTGCGCATCCCGCACCTTGTCTCGAGCCACTGCATCGCCCACAGGTGGGTTCTTATGTTGTGTTTCCTGCACCCCTTAATGAATCCGCAGCCACCCGTGGTAATCACTAGTTGACCTGGTTTGCTTGTTGTTGTGCATGCAGGGAGGCGCTCGCCGCAAAGGCCGCCGCTGAAGAACTCCCCGAGTTCGGGATGGTGGACGCCCTGCTCCGCCAAGTGGCAGAGTACTTGGGGCGTTCGGGCCCGTGGCATCAACGGTTCATGGGCTTGCAGGAGGTCTTCACAAAAACGAACCTGGAGCTGCAGGGGATCCACGACGTCCGCTGGCTCTCCCGTGGTGACGCCATTCTGCGCGCGGTAGAGGTGTTCCCCGCGCTGATCGTGATGCTGTACGAGTGGGACAGCACCCTGTACAAGCTCGTCACGAGCTACAGGTTTCACTTCCTGCTATATTTCCTTGCAGACGTACTCGAGCAGCTCAATGTGCTGAACAAGGCATTCCAGCAGCGTGAGGTGAGCATGGTTTCGTACAAACCTTGAATATGTGCCCTGTTGCTGGTTTTGCTCCAATGTTTGGTGTTACTACCACAGCTCTGAGTTGGTCTGCCTTCCACACTTTTTCATCCATGTTGAACCCCCAACAGCTGGACATTGCTAGTGTTCACGGGCAGATCCGCCGGTCCATCTCCTTCCTTGAGTCCCGCTACGTCGACTGCGGTGACGACTTTGGAGGCGGTGTGAGCGCGCGACTCTCGCCATTCATCAAGAAGCACGGACATGAGGGGGGCAAACCCGAGGTGAAGGTGCAGGGAGTCGACTCGGACGGGCGGCCCACTACACATACCTTCGAGCTGCACGAGGAACCGGACGACGACTACCCGACTCTCGGCTCCCACGACGCCTGCGTCGATCTCTGCACCACCTTCTCCGAGGCGCTCGTAAAAAACCTCACCACACGGTTCAAGGACCTGGACTCTCTGGTGGGAGTGCGGCTGTTCATGCCCGACGAGTGGGAGCTGGGGAGAGCGGAGCGCCACAGGCAGTGTCTCGAGTGGCTCGAGTCTCTCGTGAGGTTGTTCAGGGCACAGGACACGGACTACATCATTCCAGGTATTCCCGCTCTCGCTTTGTGCCTGACCGTATGTTACAACTGTGCGTTTTAGACGTATACCAGCCTGTCTAACTCCCCTCTTTTTCCCTTCTGCCTGATGTGGCAGGGGTCGACAAGCGGCGTGCGATCAAGGAGCTGCGTGCCTTCTGCCCCATCCTCGCTGGTGCCCCAAAGAACGAGCGCAACTTCCTCGCCGGCCTCACAGCAGTGCTGAAGACAAGCGACTGGGCGGCAAGCTACCCCAATCTGGTGCGTCTCTGGGTGGCTGTCGCCGTGCTGCCGCTCAGCACTGTGGAGTGTGAGCGCGGCTTCTCACGCCAGAACGTGATCAAATCGTGGCAGCGGGGGAGCTTGAAGGACGCCCACCTCGAAGGCCTCATCACGATGTCCCTGCTGGAGTATGAGCCCAACTACAATGAGGTGGTGCAGATCTGGCGCAGCTACAAGAAGCGCCGCCCATTCGGCAATGTGGTGGCACCACCAGCAAGAGAGGGGGAGGGGAGCGGTAGCAAGGGAAAGGAGGTCCTAGAGGAGGAGGAGATGGACGAACTAGAAAGAGACGATGCAGACGAGCAAGCTTCTTTTGATGATGACTTTTGATTAGAATGCTCCCAGACTCCATGCTTAGCTTGCTTGCTAGCAAGATAGGATTTGGTTTGAATTGAAGGCTGTTTGCATGCTTCGTATTGTTTTTAACTTAAAATAAAGATTACTACTGCTATCACCCATTTTCTGTGGGGGACACTGATAGATCAGACTTTTTTATTAAGTAACACTGAACTTTCAGGCTTTTTTCCAAGACGACCCTGACGATCAGGGTCTAGGGGCAGAGGAACCCTGATACCCTTACGTGCCTCAAACTGAATCTGAGGCCCTGATGAGTACAATTGAAATTGCTCGCTGCATGTGGCCAGGGGGGTGCCAAATGACATTTTCGAGGGGTTGATGACGTTCGCGTCGAAACAGGCATTCGCGCCTTAACATGTGATGTTTAAAAGCCCATGGAAACACTCAACTTCTCTAATAAAAAAAAAACTAACACTAAAATATACCATCTATATGCACCTGGGAATTATGTAGCTTTTTCCTATGAGAAGACACCCCCCTTTTTTTCCCTGTATTTTTAGATCTACCCTAGGGTGTTATGTCCGGGAGAATACGGTACCTCAATGGGTGCACGCATGGTACAGTAACTCACAACCTCTTTCTGCTTTGCAGCACAAATGCTCCTGTGTGTACAAAAAGTGAATATCAGATGGGCACATTCCTTTCCAACAAGGCTACAATACAAGCTCATGCCTGTCCCTAGGGGTGTATGACCCCAAAAGACGTTTTTTTGCAGCAACTAGAAGTCATTTGCTGCCGCACAGCGCCGCTGATAATACACTGTTGGGAAATACCCCAGGCTCAAAGCTCTGACGGTTGTATGTGTGTTTGCAACTGACTAATTCGGTAAGAGCCACCACCACCACCATTGGCGTTATTACCACGGGCTCCATTCTCTTCTCCCCTGTCTTGCCTGCGTGATCAGGGTTCAGAGCAGCCCATCCCATGCTGGCTTCCTTTCGTTGATTACTTCTAGGCCGGTTACCTCCTGGTCGATTGCTCCAGCAGTGCAGCTGCAGCAAGCGTGCTTGTATGCTTGTATATTGAGAGAGACATGCCTGTGCACTGCAAACTCGTTTGGTCCTAGCTGGACAGTCCTTCCTTGTGTGAGGATAACGCATCATTGCTTCTCCTTCCAGCCGCCGCCACTACCACCATCACCTCCACCATTGTGTGCCATTGCTGCTGCGGTCGCTGCCACTCCCAGTAAGCAGGTGGGATGACTGTGCGTGCGACCACATGCCCGTGCGACCACCCCGCTTGCTCCTGCAGCTGATGCTCCTGCATTTGCTGCTGCTGCTGCTGCTGCGGCTTCCTCCATTGCAAGCAGCGTGACAGACGCTCATGCGTGTGGATACCCCTTGCTCTTTGAAAATTTCCAGGCTCCGTCCAGAGCTTTTCCTCGTCCTCCGTTTCGCCTTTTCATTTGCGGTACACTCCACGTCTGTCAAGGGGAGGACGGTCACGATGGTGAGGGAAGCAGCGGAAGTGAGAGGGGCGGGTTGCAATGAGGCTTGAAGCAGACTGACACTCGGTGAAAGAGACTATGTTTCCAAGCGTCTCAATCAGAATATTTTTCTCTTTCAACCAGGAGTGGAGTGAGGGGCGGGCTGCAGCAGCAGGACATGGGGGTTTGCAGTAGTGGGAAGAATGCCGTGAGGGGAGGGGCGTGGGGAGGAGGAATGGATACGTGGGAAGCAGGTGGACGCGAAGCAAACAAAGCAAGAGATGATCACCTGCAATGGCAGTCAGGGAGTCCCAAGTCCCATGTACGTGTCAACCCCTTTCTCGAAGTAGCTTCAAATGGTAAAGAACAGGGAAGAAGGAACGCAAGTGGTGTGCCTCCCCCTTATTCCCACCCTCCCCCTATCCTCCACCCCCATCCCCCACCACCCTCCCCGACCCCCCTGCCCCACCCCTTCCCTGCACCTGCACATGGCGCCCATCTGCTCCGCCATGGCTGCTGCCTGTGCGGGCACGGGCCCGTTCTTCACCTTCCCCGCGAGCAGCAGCGGCGCGCGCACGTTCCTCACAGCGCCAAACACGTTGCTCACTTGCGGCACGAGCGGGCGCGAGCGCGACGAGGAGGAGCGCAGGTCTATGTCTTGAAGGGAGATGCTGCGGCAGGGCACTGAGGACGAGCAGTTGAGAATAATCCCTATGGGGTCGGAGGAATTGGTCGTGCCCACTATCTTGCTGTACGACACTCCTGAGACTGCCACGGCCTTGGAGGAACCTTCCCCGCACTTTCCGTCCACATGGCGCTTGTCACAGTAGCTCTGGTGGAGGGGGAGAGTGGGAGGAGGGAGGGGTAGAGAGGGGGAAATGCATGATAAAGCGGATGCACAGGTACGCAGCAGAATAAAGAGGTGCAAAAACGGGCCGGCTGGATACCAGGTGCACATGCAGGCGTGCCAACCTCCGCTGGTTGATCACAACAGGCCATTCCAAATTCACCACCAACACACTCTAATACACACACCCTCACCTCCTGCGCCCCCCCCCCTTGCCCTCTCACAACGCCCCCACAAACACACAACTAACCACAATCACCTCACCCTTGAACCCACCCCCTCCTCTCCCTCCACCCCCACACATTCCCTCCCCGGTCCTCACCTGGTCGATGACAATGGGTCGCTCCACATCCACCATGAAGACATTGCGGTACACAACGTCGCGCACGCTGCCCGACCCGCCCTGGTACGTCTTGATGCGCAGCCCGTTGGAGAGCGCCTTGAGCACCACCCGCGTGACCGTTATGTTGGCCACGCATGCTGTGTCCCCGTGGTCGCCCAGGCTGCCGATGCTGTGACGAGGGAGGAGGACGGAGGGAAGAGGGCAGGGATAGGGGGGGGAGGAGGGAAGAAGGGAGCAGGGAGAGGGGGAGGAGGAGAGAAGGAAGGGTGCAGGGAGAGGGGGAGGATAGGGATAAGGACAGAATTGCAGGTTCTGAAATGGGATGCATGCTCAGCAGCCACCAAGTGCTGCTTATGAAAATTTGAGGCGCATAAAACATAGACCCTCGGTTCACCAGAGGGTACTTTTGAAATCTAACAACATCACTTCAAACCAAACCACAGGCTGCCCTCGCCTGCCCGCGCTCCCAGGCGCACCTGATCCCGTGCCTGGCCACACACCATGTGATTCTGAAGTCCATGTGAATCAAATATCAGTGTTCCCACCTTGCCACCCTCCCACACCCGTCCCTGCCCGCGCACCTGATGCCATGGCCGGCCACACACCACGTGTCGGAGATGAGCACGTGTGACGTGCCGTCCTCTATCACTATGTTGTCGTCGCCTGCCATCGTGCCATGGAGCAAACATGGTGAGACGCGCACAGAGAGACGCATTGTCGTAAGGGGACGGTGGTGGCTGCAGGGTGGTGGGTACGGTGGTGAATTCTGAGTCGACTCAGAATGTTGGTGGTGGGTAGGGTGCAGCGCTGCACTGCCACTTGCAGTCTGTGTGTGATGTGGATCGAGTCTGTGCTGGGGCACTCCGAGAGACTTAAAGCACCATGCCTCTCTCTCACCTTCAATCATTCAACACACACACACACACCCACCCACCCACCCACCTACCCACCCACCCACGCATGCACGCACCTCCATGCAGCGTGCAGCGCTGCACAGCCACTTGTGTGGAGCGGGTGATGTGGATGGAGTCGGTGTTGGGGCTCTCTGAGGGGCTGTCCGTCGTCACGTTCACCACCTTCACGAAGTTGCTCGATGCTATCTCCAGGTGGATCGTGCCCGGGTTGCTGACGTGTGGGGAAGAGGGAGGAAAGAGGAGTGTTTTCAAAGGCAGCTCCAACATCCCAGGCCCTCTGGTTCACGGTTCACCAAACTGAGAGTGGTCCCAAAGCACCCATACCCCTCCGCACCCCGTGTCACCACGTCTGCACCCCCACGCACCGCAGAGTGATCCCCTGCACCACCGAGTTGTGGCACATGTCGGCGACAAGCAGGTATGGGCGCCTGAGCGACCCGGGCAGGCGGTGCGCGTTCCACAGCTGCCACCAGCGCTGCGCGCGGCCGTCGATGGCGCCGCGGCCCGACACCATGAGCCCGTTGACGCCCAGGAAGTGCACCACTCCCAGCTGCACCGGCGGGTGGAAGGGGTCGTGTGGTCCCAGTATGGTGCCATCCAGCTGCTCACAGCGGTGGGGTTTGTTCAAGGGGGAAAAGGCGTGGGGGAAACGGAAGGGTGGAGGTGAGGGTGGATGGGGGGAGGATGAGGGCAGGCGGAAGCTGGGTCGTCAAGGGGGTCGTCGCAGGGGGAGGAGGGACGGGGTTGTGCGCTGGTTGGAGATTGAAGGGAGGGGTGCTTTTGGGATTTCAACACCAGCACTAAAGGCAATGGCTCCAACACCAGTAGTCGTTGAATCCACACACCCTTTCACCTCAAGCCTCTCTCGCGCCTCAAGACCCCTCATTTCATTCACTCCAAGCCTCACTGCTCACCTGGAACACCAGTCGGGATCCGCACGGCCCCACGAATCGCAGATATCCCACGCTGTACCGCCCGCTAGGCACCACCACGGCCGTGGGACGCGAACTCAACCGACCCAGCTTGCATGCCGCCACAAACGCCGCTTTAAACGCCCGCGTGTCGTCTTTCTTACCGTCCCCCACCGCTCCGTACCGCTTGACAGAGAACTGGCGGTCCGGGGGGATGTGGGGCACGGGCACGAGGTACTCTTGGCCGCGCGCGAAGCGGAATGGCAGGTCTGATTCTTTCCCCGGGGAGAAGGGCTGCATGCTGTTGCCGGTGCGCGGGATGGGCGAGGAGGGAGAGGAGGGAGAGGAGGGAGAGGACGGAGAGGAGGGAGAGGAGGGAGAGGACGGAGAGGAGGGAGAGGAGGGAGAGGACGGTGATGATGATGGGGATGGCTTGGGTTGTTTCGATTGCATCTTGTTGCCCCCGCTGCTGCCCCCGCCGCTGCTGCCGCTGTTGCGGGAGGGAGAGCGCGAGGAGGAGGGGGGGGGAGGGGAAGGTCGGGGCTTGGGCTGGGACGTGCGAGCCGTGTCCCCCCGGTGTGGGGCGGTGGGGTTGGCCTTCCGAGCCTTCATCTTGGACTTGTACATGCTCGCCGCATTCCCGCCCTCGTCCGTGCTGCTGCTGCTGCTGCTGTCACTGCCACCACTGTTGCCGCTCCTGCTGCTGCTGCTGCTGCTTCTGTCGCTCCGAAGCCTCTCGGTTGCTGGTCCGGTTCTGGGCTTGAACCCGCTGGTGGTGCCGCCACCACTGCTGCCGCTGCCGCTGCTGCTGCTGCTACTGCTGCTGCTGCTGCCAGCAGTACCAGTGCTGCTGCCGCCGCTGTTGCTTTTCTCAGCAGGGCTGGTGGCAGGCGGAGAGGAGGAGGGGGAGGAGGTGGGGCGAGGGGTGGGCAGGCGAGGCTTGAAGCCGAGAGTGGTGGTGGAGCGGGAGGAGAGCCATGGCACGGAGGAGGGCGAGGAGGAGGGCAGAGATGGCGGTGCTACTGACGGTGGTGGTCGCGACGAGCGCGTGAAGAAAGACTTGGGTGGTGTTGCAGCAGCACTGGCATCAACAGCAGTATCGGTATCAGCATCAACACCAGTATCAGTATCAGCATCGGCATCAGCATCGGTATCAGCATTGGCATCAGCATCGGTATCAGAGTCGGTATCAGCATCATCAGCATCAGCATCAGCATCAGCATCAGCATCAGCATCGGTGGCAGCTGATTCATCAGAGGGGCTGTTAGTGGTACCAGGAGGGCTGTCAGGGTTAGAAGGGCTGTACGCGTTAGAGTCATCCTCGGCATTGTATGGCTGCTGCTGCGTGTCTGAGTTAACCTGCGAGTCACCATCCCAGGTGCTGTAATCCGAGAGAGGGTCCGATTCATTGGATGAAGAAGAGCTAGAGTTGACGTTCCTCTCCAAGTCAGAGTCAACGCCAGAGTCAACGCCAGAATCAACGCCAGAGTCAGCAGAGTCAACGCCCGAGTCAACGCCAGAGTCAGCAGAGTCAACGCCAGCATGAGCGGTAGAGTCGGAGTAAGAATCAGTATCTGACTGCGAGTCAGGTTCGAAGGCAGCAAGAGGGTCGGGGGAGGCGGGGTCCTGCTGTTGTGGGCTTAGCAGGTCAGCCCGGTCACTCACACCCGCACCCTCGCTCTCACCCTCGCTGTCAGTAGGAGGAGTGGGGCCACTGCTGCCGGCACTGGTGTTGCCAAACGCAGGGGCGGCAGCAGCAGCGACAGACGAGGCTTGCACGCCAGACTCCCGCCGAGAGCCGCCAGCAGCGGAGGACGAGGAGGAGGCATCCGCGGAACGCGCATCGGGGTTGGTGCGGGCGCGGAAGGCGGTGCCCTTGCCGAGAGCCAAGAAGGAGACGATTCCTTGGCCGTTCTCGCCTCTCCACCCGAACTCGTCCTCCTCTCCCGCGCCGCCATTGTCGTCATCATCATTACCATCATCCTCGTTGTTGTCGCGCTCGTCGTCGCCGTGGTTACTGTCGCCAGCAGAGGCGGTAGCCGGCGAAGAAGCGGCAGAGGGGGCAGGAGATGCAGGGGAGAGAGGAGAGATTGGAGAGTACGAAGCAGCAACCGCTATGGACCGTCCTGCTCGTTTCCCCACCCCACTGGGGGCACCAATACCACCGCCGCCTTCACCGCCGCCGCCGCTGCCATAGTCATCATTTTTAACTTCTCCGATACTAGGAATATAATCTGATACCGACACCCACTGCACGCCACCCTCCTCCCCCTCCCCATCCGCATCCCCAGCTCCCCCGGCATTGGCGCCGTGACCGCCGGCAGCGTTCTCAACGCTCTGGACCGTCACACCGGGATTGCCGCCGGCGTCGTGTTTGCTGATTAATCGAGCTTCGTCGAGCCACCCATACGAGACCTCGCTAGGGTGACCATCCAGCCGCTCCGTTTCCCCCGCATCCCCAGCTTCTGCGGGAATATCCTCTTCCGCGGGAGTGTCCTCTTCCGCTTCCGCTCCCAATATCACCTCTGCTTCCGCTGGGTCTGCGGAGGCCGCGGAGGCCTGCGTCGGGGCGGATTGCGCGCGCGCCGTGCAAGTCGGGGTTTTGAAGAGACACGCGGGGAACGGGTCGCACTCGTACGCCGTGACTCCCGCCGCGACCAACCTTGTAACGGTAACGCGTAGCACCATAGCGGGGCGGCGCGACGGGGACGACGACGAGGAGGGGACGCGGGGAGAGGGGGAACTCGAGGCAGAAGGGGAGGGGGACGTCGTGGCGGGGCGGGAGGGAACGCGTGGTACGTTCTTCGAGGCATTGCGATTGGGGGAGGTTGCGTTTGGCGGGGTTTGCGGCGGATTTGACGGCGCTCTTTGCTGATCCGACGAGTCGCTGAAACCCGAATCAGGGTCGGCGGAAGCATTCCCCCCTCCCCCCGCCGGCGCGCGTGCGGGGGGCGACGGCGTTGCGGGGTAGGGCGTGCGCGGCGCCCGCGGAGCGGGAGTTGCGGCGGGAGGTGCGGGGGACGTGGGAGCGGAGGGAAGAGTGAAATCGGGCTCACTGCCAAGAGGATCGTCCGGATTTTTCGGTGGAATGCGTTTGGGGAGGTGAGATGACGGATTGGTGGATTTGGTTGGGGAGGGTGAGGTTGAAGGGACCAGTGTTTGCTTCTGCTGCTGCGTCTGCTGCTCCTGCTTGCGGCTCGGCGCGGCTGAGTTAACATCACCCGGAGCAGTCAACGAACCAACGGACGAACCGGCAGATGCGCCCACGGGACCACCCTTGCTCCCTAGCAGTGGCTTGGCTCGGAAGTTAGGCCTGGGATGCACCGTGCCTAAGCTGGTGCCGCTTCGGCGAGGGTTGGGCGCGAACGTGGAAGAAGTTCGCACGGCGGCCGCGTCGCTCATATCCCCGAACTCCTCCCCGTGCGCCTCTTGCTCCTCCTGCTCCCCGTCCGGAAATCCATCGGTATTCCGAAGGTAACCGGGTACATTCCCATGGTCAATTTCAGAACCGCCGTTGGCATCGCTGTCGCCGTCGCTGTCGCCGTCGCCATCGCTGTCGCCGTCGCGATCAGCTTGCGGCACTTCCGCCACCAGCAGCCCCGTGTCGTCACCCCCCCCGTGATACTCATCCACCGCACGGTCCTCTCCGCCGTAGTCCGCGGCCCCAACCTCTCTTCCCGCGCTAGAGACCTGCGCACCTCCCACGGCGCGCCTTGTCCTTGCGCCAACACCCCCCGTTTGCGCGTGCCCCGCAGTATCTCCCACCTGGGGGAAAGCCCCGCCCTCGCTGATCGCGGCAACGTACGAGGAGAGCAGAATAGGCTGTTCCGCTTCTTTCGTCCTGTCCACGTCAGCCATAGGGTTGCCATTCGCGCCGCCAAAATTATCATCCGCTCCAGCTTCCATCAGCCCCCGGTCCCCTCGAGCTTCACTCCCCACGTATACGGCCCCTCCCCCTCGCTTCCCCCCTTCTTTCCTATTATCTCCTTCCGCGCTTTCCTTCCGCGGAAATTCGCTCCCGCCCGCCACCTTAGCACGGCCCTGCGCCATCCACGCCGGAATCAACTCCGTCACTTCCAGCACCGTTTCTACGGCTCCTGATGTTGCTGTTCGCACGTTAACCGTGCTGCTCACTAGCACGGGTTTAACGCCCGCGTCCGCGCTGTTAAGACTGGTCGCCAGAGCCGAGCCGCTCGGAACCTTGGCGGGAAGGGGTCGCACTGTGGAATTGGTCGTGCGCGTGACGACAACATTTGCCGCCCACTGCGGCGAGGGATCACAGCGCTTGAACGAAGTGCATGGGTCTGCGGTAGTCGCGGAGTGCGGGGATGCAGGGAGGGAGGGAGGCATGAAGAAAGGGAGGCGGAGGGAGGTGAGGAAAGAATAGCGATCAAAACAATAGAGCGACCATTTACACAGGCATAGCGGGCCCCGCAGGCTCACACGTGCGTGATCTGGCTGACACGTTTATGATGCATGGAGGTGCTTACTGGACAGGTGGACCCGGCAGTGCGAGTCGAGCAGGTACGCGCAGTTGTTGTTCATGGCTAGCGCGCCGTCCGCTGGCGCCCACGCGTCCCATGGCTCTAGCGAACGACTGAGAGGTGGGGAAAAGGGAAGACGGATGCGCGGTGACGCCGCGCGGGTACAGTTATTATGTTAAGGATAGGTGGCGTACTGTGCGGCGTGCTGTATGGCGTGCTGTGCGGTGTGTTTGTGAGGCGTAGGGGAAGGATTTGCACCTGGGAAGCGCAGACTTTGGAACGAACTGAGATTATAAGGATGTGGAGCCGAGTGAACAGAGGCGAGCCTTTTTGGAAAAGCCACCCAATTAGCAGAGGAAAAGGGAAATAATACGGCGATAAAACGAAGGAAGAAAAGCACGGGAGAGGGTAGAGTGTGGCCGCACCCTGTGCTCCAGAACGGATCCAGCTCGAATCTCCCGATTTCAAAGTCGTATATACATGCCGGCACGGAAGGAGCAAAATAGCGCGTCGCAAATGCTGCATGTGACAGTTCACGGAGACAAAGAAATCGAAGCTGAATTAGGATGGCCTGGTGTGGGAGAGGCATTGAGGTTCGGATTTTCACGCAGCGCATTCAGAAGTAGCTGACGTAGTGACAGGAAGTGATGAGCATGTCTTTATGCGTCATGTCATCTCTTACTAGATAACTACCTTGTGGGCTTAAGAGGAGGATGAGGGGAAGAAGGAGCAGAAGCTGCAGTGTGGCAAAGCCATTCTGTGGGAGTGTGCGCTGCGACACACCCATGGCTAGCTGCTTGCGAGTGCTCCAGGGGGTTTCAGTAGGGAGAGGCTAGGTCGGCATCAGAGAGCAATACGTGAGGCCAAAAAACTCAGATTGGAATCAGAAGTGCCGAGATCGAGTAATGTCCCAAAAACTAGCCCCACGGGAGCTTCAGGAGGGAGAAGCTACGTCGACATCAGAGTGTGATAAGTTAGGCCAAACGTAGCCTAGCGAAATCACGAGTGCTGAGATCGAGTAGGGTCGCAAAGACTAGTTCTAAGGCCCAGTTGAACGCGCCGTCCCAAGTCGAACCAGTGAAATGTTGCTAAAGCTTCAACCAGTGCACAATGGCGCCATAAAATGTTCATGGGGGTGATGGAAAGGCGAGGACTGAAAGTGTGCATCAAGCTGTGCTCGTGTGCAGGCCCGATGCAATGTGGCAGATTACTGAATGCTGAGATGTGTGCTCTTCGGGGCGAAAAGTGCAATTGCAAAGCCGAGCCGCTATCCTCTCAATCAGCACGAACACACTTCCACACATGTCCGTGGAATTGATGGGGCAACTGTGCATATGGGGTTACCAATTCTTCCTCAGGCGAACCGTTTCAGAAACAATCAAGCGTTCGCGAGAAACATTGGCACACCCCCTCTCGAGTTTGTGATGCCGTCCTGGTGAACGACTGCTCTTTCGCACCACGATATAACCAGCTTGTACATCGTCCATCACGATTGCACGTCGCAACCCACTTCGCGGTCCCACGGACCGACCACCCAGAAGCCGAAACGCGTGTTCGACTGCCCAGGGTTGGCCAAAGATCCCCGAGTAGTTGAGCCACATCAGCAGCACGAATGTTTTCCCCAGCCAAAAGGGGTCAGCTCAGCTCGCCGTCAGCCCAAACGTAAAAAGGGGATTTATACGATGATGATGTCATCAATAACGAGTCCGCCAGTCTGAACCAGGAAACACTACGAATAGTGTTTTATACAATGAAACAACCAGTAAGCTTAATACTTTCTTAAGAGGTATAACATTTAGTATAAAGTTGTTTTTTCGAATTACTGTTACGATATAAAGTATTTGGAAATTCATTCCTGAACGTAACAGCATCTAACAGTACCGAGGATGAAGCAAATGAGTCAGACGAGTCGAAGTGACACCGGGCTATTTTTATCAGGGTAATTACCCTGATTTCGTGGTGATTTCAGACCTGTCACTGTGTGATGATTGAAAGTTCAGAATTAATCAGTTCTCAACACTGATCCAGACACAGTAATGTTAGAATACCTAGGCAAGAGTGATTGTATTAGGTCAAGGTGGGTACAAGACCAGAAGGTCGAGGGAAATTGTATACCCCCTAAAGCTAGCCCCAATACAGCCTAACTAAACAATAAGCATGTAGTTTGACACACCCCCATAGGCGAAATAGGGGATAGCCAGAGCAAGGACAATGGTCACAAGACCAGTCAAGAAAAGAAACAAAGCACAGCTCAGGGTAGATCACAAAGTCACCACACACTCTAAGCACACGCAAGAGGCCACAAGGCCAGTTCACATGCAGAGTTATAAAAGCACAAGCAACACACTGATCACAACCTAGCAGGTGTAAGCATGCACGTATATATATAGATCACAGTACAGGTACAGCCTACAGTAAGTGCGGAAACGTAGGCACAAGGCCCAACAAGGTACAAGTGAAGGACCACTCGGCTCTACGGACTCGTCCGAAGGTGGAGCTGAGAGCGAGTGACCTGTAGCCAGAGGAGTGGCCTGTGTTGAGGACCAGGTGAAGCCGAAGCGCTGAAGGACCTGCTGCACCATGTGTGACTGAGTCAGTGTGATGGTGCGACGTGCTCTGTCCCGGGTGATCTGCAAGCCAAGGTAACTCCGTAGCTCACCCAGGTCTGTGCATGTGTGTCTCTTCTACAGCTCCGACTTCACCAGGGCGAGAGCCTCAGTGTCAGCAGTGGCAAAGTCCAAGTTGTCGACGTACACGAGGATGTAGAAAGGCGGCAGCGAAGTGTCGGTGCGCAGAAACAGCGACGGGTCAGCAGTCGACGGAGCAAACCCAAGAGCCGCAAGTGTCGTCCTCAGTGTGTCGTGCCACTCACGCGGCGCCTGACGGAGACCGTAGACTGGCTGCCGAAGGCTCCACTGGGTACCAGGAGGGAACGACCCAGTGAAGCCAGGAGGGCGGCGCAGCCAGATCTCCTCGTGCAGGTTGCCCTGCAAGAAAGCTGTGCTGAATTCAAGAGAGTGAAGCTCGTAGTCACGCTGAGCAGCAATGTGCAGCAGCACCCGAAGAGTGGTCATCTTCGGGGTGGGGGAGAAGGTATGGAAGAAGTGAACTCCCTCTCGCTGACTGAAACCTCGAGCAACGTAACGAGCCTTGAAGATAGGCGGAGAACCTGGCGAAGGAGAAGGAGAAGGAGCAGGCAGGGGTGAGCCAGGCTGTAACGGAAGACCAGTAGACGACGGGAGGCTAAGAACCTGGTGAAGCACGGAGGCAGGCGGTGGCAAAGACGACGGAGAAGGCGGAGCAAAGAACATGCGTGGCTGCGCAGCGCCACCAGCACCTGCGGCTCTAGCTCCCTCAGCAGCTCCAGCACCCTCAGCAGCTCCAGCACCCCCAGCAGCTCCAGTACCTCTAGCAGCTCCAGTACCGTCAGTAGCTCCAGCACCTTCAGCAGCTCCAGCACCCTCAGCAGCTCCAGCACCCTCTGTAGCTCCAGCACCCTCAGCAGCTCCAGCACCCTCAGCATCTTGAGCACCCTCAGTAGAAGCACCCCCAGATCCAGCACCTCCAGGCCCAGGGTCACCAGCCTCAGTGTCTCCAGCAGCAGTACCCCCAGACCCAGGGTCTCCACCAGGAGTACCCTCAGGCTCAGCAGCACCTCCAGCCCCAGCAGCTCTAGTACCTCCAGTACGAGCACCTCCGGGACCAGCACCACTCCCAGCTCCAGTGACGGCAGTAGAAGTACCTCCAGCAGCAGAGCCCCGAGCTCCAGAAGCGCGACCCTGATGGCGACCGTACCAGTCGTGCAGCTGCTGTGAGGTGACAGGCACACGCGCACGAAGACGGCTACTCCAAGGAGACCGCTGAGCAGCACTCCCAGCACCCCTTGACTCAGCACCCCCAGACTCAGCACCCCCAGGCTCCTCACACGGAAGCTCAGCACCCCCAGGCTCAGCACCCCCAGGCTCCTCACGCTCAGACTCCGCACCCCCAGGCTCAGCACACACAGGCTCCTCACACGCAGGCGCAGCACCCCTAGGCTCAGCACCCCCAGGCTCCTCACGCTCAGACTCCGCACCCCCAGGCTCAGCACCCCCAGGCTCCTCATGCTCAGGCTCCGCACCCCCATGTCAGAATATTATCTTATTGTTCTAGCCTGTAGTGGGGTGCTCTATAGCGAGTACAACCCTTCTAGGGTTTGCTATTTGTATCCTCATTCTTGCTAGTTCAATCCTCTTTTCTTCTTCTAATTTTGACACCCCAGGCTCAGCACCCCCAGAGACAGCACCCCGAGCGGGACCACCCCCAACAAGACCCGAGTCACCAGTGACCTCAACACGCGCAGGCCCGGGAGGGTCTACCTGAGAAACACATGAAGAAGCAGGACCTGGTGCGGGGAGGGGGTCTACCTGGGGAGGACCTAGAGCAAGAAAGAGCGGCGGGGGGGGGGGGGGCGAGGAGCAGTGCGGTAGGGAAAGAGACGGTAAAAGGGGACGGACTCGTCAAAGGTGACGTCCTGAGACGCAAAGACACGGCGCGTGGCTTGGTCGTAGAACTGCCAGCCAGGCGCGTCAAGGACAAAGCCAAGGAAGACGCAGGGAATGGCGCGAGGGTAGAGCTTGTCCGCTGTGGTATCGCGGACAAAGGCACGAGCACCCCAGACCCGGAAACGCGACGTATCGCCAACCTTCCCCGTCCAACGCAGTGTGGGCGAGGTCTCCGGCACGGAGACATGGGGCCAGAGGTTGAGCTGATGCGCGACGTACCGGATCGCAAACGACCACACAAAATGGGGGGCAACCGCATGGATCATGGACGTACGAGCGACCTCCATGACTAAGCCAACGCGGCGCTCAGCAACCCCATTCTGCTGCGGAGAGGCCGAAAGCGTGAACGTCTGGCGGATGCCGTGCTCCGCACAGTAGGCCGCCAAGAGGTCAGAGGAGAACTCACCACCTCTGTCAGAGTGCAGACGCAGGACAGGAAAGTCCGACAAGAACCGCTCGCGGAGCTGGAGACGAGCACCGCGGATCTAGGGGATCATAACATTAGGGACCTCACCCTTGGTGCGCAAGGGGAAGACCGTGGTGTAACGCGTGTAGTCCTCGACGACCAGCAGGAAGTACCGCTTGTGGCCCTGTCCCAAGACGCGGGCTGGGCCCCACATGTCTGGGAACAGGTAGGCAAGGATGAGGCGTCCTACGGCTGTAGTGGTTGGGGAGGAATAGCGCGCAACTACAGCATCGTACAGCGCCTTTCCGGTCTTGTGCTGACTAAAATGCGCGCGCTCAGTGATCGGTAGGTGGTTGCGGATAGCGAGGCGCGCAGTAGCATCGCGAGTCTGCCACTGTGAGCGGTCGAGAGCAGTAGCACTGTCAGCTGGAGTAGGGGCAGTGCCAGACGCGTGATCGAACAAGGCAAACAAGCGTCTGGCGCGTTAAAAAAAAAAAAGCTACGCGCGCGCACAGCCGAGGCGCGCGCGGTCAGGAGACAAGGCAAACAAGCAGGCAAGGCAGGCAGGCAGGCCGTTGGTAACACGGTAACGGGTGGGCCCTTAATCTTAGGTCGTAAGAACCTGCTCTAGATGCCATGTTAGAATACCTAGGCATGAGTGATTGTATTAGGTCAAGGTGGGTACAAAACTAGAATGTCGAGGGAAATTGTGTACCCCCTAAAGCTAGCCCCAATGCAGCCTAACTAAACAATAAACATATAGTTTGACAAGTAATACTTTAGGGGACCCTGAATTCTTGTATACTCTCTCAGAGTAGTATTTTTATGGTCCCTGTT